TTATAAGACAGGAAAAAATTAAATAAATGAAGAAATATTGGTGTCACAGCAATTCAGGAGAGAAGAGTTTCAAGAAGATAGGAGTAAGTGGTCAGCAGTATAAAATCAAACAGCAAGGTTGGTTATGATAACTGAAATGTCGCTTTTGACAAAACAAAAGCGAGGCCTGTAATGATGACATAGAAAAGTTAACATTAAATTATATGATGACTTCACTTTACTGAAGATTGTGAATCATTCCTCTTTTGTTTTTCTATGTTGTTTTTATTTTAGGTTATTTTATTTATTATTTTTTTGAGTTGGAGTCTCACTCTGTAGCCCAGGCTGGAGTGCAGTGGCCGCTCCCAGCCACCGCAGCCTCAACTTGCTGGGCTCCAGCGATCCTTCCGCCTCAGCCTTCAGAGTAGCCGGAATTACAGGCGCGCGCTACCACGCCCGGCTAATTTTTTGATCTTATTGTAGAGACGAGGTCTCGCCTGCCCAGGTGGGTCTCGAACCCGCGGGCTCAGGCAATCCACTCACCTCAGCCTCCCAAAGGCGCGGGATTACAGGCTAAGCCACCGAGCCCAGCCTCTATGTTGTTTTTAACAGCCAGCTCAGATCAATAGGTATTAGTTCCTGAAAGTTAACTTCTTTCACAAATATGTAGAAAGCATTAGGAAAAATGTGAGTTGCATTTCTTTTACTGTGTAAAGCCAGAGAGACTTTTCAGTTCAGCCTGTTATTTAGCTGTGTGGTTTTTCTTCTTGCTTCACTAAGTTTATATACCTTATTTTTGTTCCTGCACCTGTTTCTTACTGCTAGAATAAGTAGTCCAAATCCAAATTTCCATTTCCTCACAAGTCTGACTTCCATCCTCAGCACTCCACTGAAACTGCTACTACTCAGATCATAAATGACCTCCTCTTTGCTGAATCCAGTGGTGACATTTCAGTTATCATAACCAACCTTGCTGTTTGATTTTATGCTGCTGACCACTTACTCTTATCTTCTTGAAACTCTTCTCTCCTGAATTGCTGTGACACCAATATTTCTTCGTTTATTTAATTTTTTCCTGTCTTATAATTGCTCCTTCTCAATCATCTTTCTAAGCTCCTCTTCTTGTGACTATTTTTAAATATTGGTATTCTCCAGTGTTTGTTCTCTAACCCAATCTAATCTCAACAAAAATCTCTCAGCTCAGACCCCTTTCCTTAGCTTCTGCCACTCACTGGACATTTTTACAGAGTTTTGGGTGTCCTTCTCCTGAAAGCCCAGTCACTCACCTAGCCATACCTGTTGTATTACCTTAACAGTTCTCCAAACCATCCTTCCTCCACCTCCCTCTGCTGTTGCCAGTACCACCATAGAACTGTGCCACAGCGTCCCTGTCCTGGACCCCATGCCTAAGAGTGTCCCACTTTAGCTTTCCTTTAGCCTTGCCAAGGGAATGTGCACACCCTACCCTCCACCGTCTGTACACTAGCTACACTAGACCCTAGAAGCAGAAGCAGGTCTTGCAGCAAGCTTTCCCAGGCCTGCTCTTCCAAGTGTAGACTGCATCCCTGGTGTGTACTTCCTAGGCCCAGGAGTGGCTAAAGGGCAGTTCTTCAGAGGGAATAGATGGAGTTTGGACCCTCAGTTCTACATCCATGACGTACATGCAAGCCCCTGATGTATAGGCCAAGGCCAGAGGTCAGAAGAGAAGAAGGACATGCAGTGACCTCCGTTTGTAGTCTTGTTATAGGCTCTGGAAACATTAGGGTCAGGCCTAATTATTGCCTTATTTTTCTTTGTATTCCTGGTACAGTGCTGGTAGGTGAGACACCTACTTTTAGAAATTATTAGAGGTAAGAACTTTGGCTTTTTATTTTACATTCTCATATGCCTATCACAGTGCCTACTCAACACAGTGAATTTGCAATACATGTTTGTTGAATTAAGTAATGAATGCAACTTATAATGAACATTTTATCATAACATCATTTCATTTATTGTCATTTTAAAAAATTGATGGTAATGTTTATATGATTTTATTATGTCTTAGGGCCAGCATTTTTCCAGAAAAAAAATCTCTAATTTTGTATTACCATTAAGTAGGAAAAGAATACTTTATATATATATAGCAGAATTTTACTCTTAAATACATTTTTATAAATTCATTTCATAAAATGGGGTAGGTTACTTGAAAATAGTCAAGCAAACGTGAAAATCTCAATATTACAGATTAATGTAACATCACAGTCACCAGGACAGCAGTGCTTATGACTAGTTAGAATGTGTTGGTAACTGCCGAGTCCTGAAGGACTCTGGGATACAAGTGTGAGAAGGCACAGCCCTAAGTTCTGGAAAACTAAAAGCTGCTGAAAGAATGGAACTGAATTTCCCTGCCAGGTTTCTCATGAATTCAGAGGCTAACCCAAAGTCCTGCAGGCCCCAACTCTCCTACTGAGCTCATTTGTGAAGAGTTACGTGTGATAACTGTTAATGCAAGGTATACACTTATTTAAAAATTGGAGTAATTTTTAAACACCTTATCAACTTGTTTTAATTCCTGAAGTGATTTTTAACTATTATAATTTATATGCCCTAGATTCCTCCCCACCTGCAGGGTCAGTGACCTTTAAACTGAGAACCCATCTGAAAAGTCCCTGGTGCTATTCCTTCTCTGAATACTGCTTTAACACATATACCGCCTTGTAGTGAGAAATATCCTGATGAACAGTGTTGTAGTAAGAAATACTCTGATCTAAGAATAGAGTAAGCTGGACTTGAGTGACCTTTAAATGAGAGTCACACATTCTGTGACTCTTATGTTTTCTGCTTGAATAACAGTCTATTCAAGCCGGGCTCAGTGGCTTAACCTGTAACCCCACACCTTTGGGAGGCTGAGGTGAGTGGATTGCCTGATCCCGTGGGTTCAAGACCTGCCTGGGCGGCGGCACCTCATCTCTACAATAAAAAAAAAAAAAATCAGCCGGGTTTGGTAGCGCATGCCTGTAATTCCAGCTACTTGAAAGGCTGAGGTGGAAGGATCCCCGGAGCCCAGCAGGTCGAGGTTGCGGTGGCCGGGAGCGGCCACTGCACTCCAGTCTGGGTGACAGAGTGAGACTCCAACTTAAAAAAAAAAAAAAGAATAACAGTGTATTCATGTTTCCACTGAGAGTTAAGCCATGGTGATATTTGGGTTTATACCTTAACTCTCAGGAGTCATACTGTTTTATAAGTTTTTTGTTGGTTTGTTTTTGATTGTTTTTTTCCATGCTCTCCTGCCTGTAACATTTTTAGGCATAATAAAATTTGCTCATTTCAACTCTTCTCCTTCTAGTTGACATGTGTCTTTCAGGAACACCTCATTAAAGGTGTTAAATATCAAAGTAGTTACCTTTATGAAACATCACACACTGTGTCATTGTTGTGCCATCACGAGTCGTGACTAAAACCACTTAATGACATTGTTGCTGAAACATTTCTGTGATGAAGTGCTGTGGGACAGCTCAGGGTCCCCTAACTTTGGAGGAAGTATGTGGCTTCATAAACAGTTTAAATTGTTTCTGTCATCTAGAAAGTAGTTCCTCTTACACAAGGAGAATTTAAAATGTTTTCGGTATTTTAAGTTTAGTTATATCGATGACACTGGAGCTCTGTTACGTTCAAATATTTTTCTGACATGGATGATGATATGGGCAGCTGTTAACTCCCATATTTCACTTCCCACTCCCTTCTGTGTCTATGTTAGGGCCCCTTCTCTTTCCATGTGTCTGTTTATTATTCCTTTCTGCATCCAGAAAACTTTTTTTCTAAGTATCTTAAGATGGCAATGGTTAAAAAGGAAAATAAAGAGGATTTGAAACTCACATGGTGCTTAAAAAGCAAAGCAAGCAGAACAAAAAGAAGAGTTCATGTCATGAAGATGTCACATGTACTGTCCCTTTCCTTCCCTCTACTTTCATGGCATGAGAGGCTGACGCACCTCCTTTTCCTGCCTATGCGTTTTTGGACTTCAGGCTACTTTTCTCCTTCAAAGTTACTCTTGAGTGTGAGTGTGTGTATTAGGAGCTGGGGGAGCAGTAGGAGAAAAGAGTTTGGCCAGCAAAACAGGAGCACTAATAACATTGAGAGAAGATGATCAAGAGAACGAATGGAATGGAAGCAAAAAATGACTCTCTACTAATGCTTACAAGTCAAGTCAATACATGCCTTTTGAATTAAGTAGTGGATGCAACTTATAGTGAGCATTTAAAGTATGAGAATTGGAGGGGACCTAGTGATCCTGTCTCATTAGAACACCTTAACCTAACACTCTCAGTAAATGCATAAACTCATCTCCTTGTTTTTCAGGAGAAAAAAATGGAATTCCATGAAGTTATATATTGCCCAGGGCCAGCTCTGAGGTCTGCCAGAACCCAGGTCCTCCACTTCCTCAGCCAATTCCTTTTCTACTAGAAAATTCAATAATGATTATTTTCTTTTTTGTATTTCCAATGTCTAGCAAAGAGTATGTATGAAATGTTGAACTCAAGCGTATTATTTGTGGTGCTGGTGCCACTTACTAGGTCTGTTAATGAGTGGCAATCTAGTAGAAGGAGTATGGATTTTGAAGTCAGACCTGGATCTGGATTTCAGCTTTGCCTGTCAGCACTTGGGCTAGTTTCTTAATTGTTCTAAACCTTGGCTTTCATGTCTCAGTAAATGGGAATAATAATAATCACCACGTGGTATTGTTACAATTAAATGAAACAAGGTTTTAAGAAGTACTGAGTTTGGTGTGTGCCACAGGTAGAGGCTTTAGTAAACATTTGTGAAATGAGTAAGTGGTAACTGTTCCTATATTTGATCTCTCTCATAGATAGTCAGCACACCTTTCAGAAGCTAAATTGACTTACCTTTGAGGCATGTCCTATTCTTTACAGATATGTATGCTTATTGCCATAGTTAAACTGCAAGTTGGCTCATTTCTTTTTGTTTTAGAAAATGCCTGCTTCAGATACCTCACAGCCTTATAATTTTTTAAATTCCAGATTAATTCATGGAGGACAGCTGTTAAACGGATTGGCAGGTCCAACTGTAATGAACGCAGCACCATTTCTCTCCACGACGTGGTTTTCTGCAGATGAACGGGCCACTGCCACGGCTATTGCATCAATGCTCAGTTATCTTGGTGGAGCATGTGCATTTTTAGTTGGACCACTTGTTGTTCCAGCTCCCAATGGGACATCACCTCTTCTCACTTCAGAGAGTAGCAGGGCTCATATTAAAGATCGCATAGAGACTGTATTATATGCAGGTAATTTGAAGTTTATCTTGTTCTGTTATACTTTGTCTTTTTTCCCAGTCATCTTCTGTCTACTTTTTGTGTGCCAGTCCATTTCATGTGAAATAGTTGAGAGGATTAATATATATATGTGCACATAATGTCATATAGTGTGGTAATGCCTATTTAAACTTACATCTGGGCAACCCCCTCAGGTCCCCTTCCACTGTGGGAGCTTTTCTGTCCTCTTAATGAATCCTACTTAAAAAAAAAACAAAACTTATACCTTTCCTAGGAAGTTAAATTTAAAATGTTTTATTGCTTCATGTAAAGTTATTCCTTAATTTTACTTTTCTCTACCATTTACAGCGAAGCCCTATATAACACATTTTCTATGTCTTCTCTGGATATCTTATCAGTATATAAAACTAAGCATCATGATTGACAAAACCACTTGTTAAGCATCTGTCGGTAGTTGTTAAGCCCGTTTTCTCCCTTGCAATTTCCCCATTGTTGGCCATGTTCTCTAGCCTTATTTACCTTGATTGCCTACTGTATATTCTTTTCATTTCCTACTCTCTGAATGTTTAATCTATTATTCAGGGATATTGACCTTGCCAAAGCATTCTCTTGGATCCTTTAACTTTTTATTTCTCAAGTCAAGCCCTAGCCCAGTCGGATCTTTTCACTTTTTATTTCTCAAGTCAAACCCTAGCCCAGTCGTACATTACAGTCTTCTATAGATTTTCTTAAATATATCTCCCTTCCCCATATACCTGTTTATTATTTCCTTCTGCATTTAGGAAAATTTTTATAAGTGTTTACTATATACCAAGCACTGTGCTAAGTACTAGGAATAGGTAAGGTCAGTGATGAAACAATTTATTATTAATATAGGTCAAGATATGCAGAGGTTGGGAGACCCCTTGCTTGGGTTTGGAAAGAAGTTGAGGGATCAGGGAAGGCTTCACTAAGAATGTAATAATTAACAGAAGTAAGAATTTCATAGGAATTCACCAAGTGTTCATGTGGGCTAAAGTATTCCATACAGAGGGAACAGCAATTGCAAAGGCAGGTATGGTGTAAGATAGCTCGGTATGTCTAGGGAACTGCATGGAGTTTAATATGGCTGCAGTAGTGTAAATGTTTGGGTATAGGTAATGGATGGCAGAAAACGAGGCTGGAAAGATAAGGGACCGGGTTGTGTTGAACTTTGTATGAATTTATCTATTCACTTTTCAATTAATGAAAATATTTTGAGCTCCTATGTATTTGTCACTGTGCTAGGCACTCAGGTAGACATGGTTCCTGCTCTAACAAAACTTACAGTGTCCTGAACAATACAGACAGGTAAACAAACAGTTGTAAAACAGAGGGTTAGTGCCTGCATACAGAGTGCTACGTATGACAGGGGACCCAAAAAAACCCTGTAACTTATTTATAAAAAATTGTGCATTTATTCTTACATGTTTAAACTTCAGTCATCTTCAAAGTACTCGAGATACTTTTTCCATTGCTCAAAACGGTTTTTGAACTCTTCTATTTTGATGTCTCATCACTTAAAAATATATATATATCAAGGCATGATAGTGTGTGCCTATAGTCCCTGCTACTTGGGAGCTAAGGTGAAAAGACCGCCTGAGCCCAGGAGGTCAAGGCTGTGAGGAGACATGACAAAGTGACAAGGCTGTGATGAGACATGACAAAGTGACTAAGTGAGACCCTGTGTCTTTTAAAAAAAAAATTGGCCGGGCTCAGTGGTTCAGCCTATAATTCCAGCACTTTGGGAGGCTGAGGCTAGTGGATTGTGTGAGCCCCCAGGTTCAAGACCAGCCCGGGCAACTTGGTGAGACCTTGTCTCTACAGTAAATAAAAAATTAGGTGGGCGTGGTAGCACGCGCCTGTACTTCCAGCTACTTGGAAGGCTGGAGCCCAGCAGGTCGACCCTGGCATGGCCATGGGTGTGCCACTGCACTCCAGCCTGGGTGACAGAGTGAGACTCAACTCAAAAAAAAAAATGTATTTGCTAGACTTGCTACATTTAAAGGTTAAAGACTCTTAAATTATTCCAGACAAAAGCATCAGAAGAAAAGTAAGCTACAGATCACTGTCTCTTATGCATTAGACACAAAAACCCTGAACAACATACTCACAAACCATGGGTGTGCCACTGCACTCCAGCCTGGGTGACAGAGTGAGACTCAACTCAAAAAAAAAAATGTATTTGCTAGACTTGCTACATTTAAAGGTTAAAGACTCTTAAATTATTCCAGACAAAAGCATCACAAGAAAAGTAAGCTATAGATCACTGTCTCTTATGCATTAGACACAAAAGCCCTGAACAACATACAAACCAAATTTAATAACGTATGAAAAGGATGATATATTATGACCAAGTGGGGTTTTTTCCAGGAATGCAAGGTTGGTTTTAACATTCAAACCAAATTTATGTAAAGTACCATATCAGTAGATTAAAGGGAGAAAAAACCATGTGATCACCTTAATAAATGAAGAAAAGCATTTGACAATTCTAACACCCTTTCAAGATGGAAACGATCAACAAACTATAAATAGATGGGAGCTCATTCCACCTAGTAAAAAGCACCTACAAAAAAACCCACAGGTAACATTCTATTTAATGGTCAAAGACTGAATGCATTCCTTCTAGGATCATGAACAAGACAAAGATGTCTATTTCTATCATGCCTTTTTAACATTGTACTGAAGGTTTTAGCCAGCATCATGAGTAAGAAAAAATAATAAAAAGTATCCCCTCCCCCCAAAAAAAAGAGGAAAAAAAAACTTATTCAGAATGGAAAGGAAGAAGTAAAAAATATCTCTGGTGAAAATAATGTGAGTCACCATGCCTGGCTAAGTTGATTGACTTTTCACAAGGGTATCAAGGTGATTCAATGAAGGAAAAAAGTCTTTCCAATAAATGGTACTGGAACAAATGAATATCCACATGCAAAAGAATCCTTACACCATAGACAAAAATTAACACAAGCCTAAATGTGAGAGCTAAACTATACAACTCTTAGAAGAAGACTAAGGAGTGAATCCCCATAATTTGGGTTAGGCAAAGCCTTATTATAAAGGACTAAAAAAAGCACAAATGACAAAAGAAAAATAAATAAATTAGACTTTATCAAAATTTAAAATATTTATGCGTCAAATTTCCCCATCAGGAAAGTGAAAGGATATGAAAAAATTCTCAGCCTCACTGATCATCAAAGAAATGCAAATTAAAACCACACTGAAATACTACCTAACTCCAATCAGGATGATCATCATCAGTAACTCAAAAAACAACAGATGCTGGAGAGGATGAGGGGAAAGGGAACGCTTTATACTGTTGGTGAGAGTATAAACTGGTACAACCTCTGTGGAAAACAGTTTGGCAATCCCTAAAAGATCTAAAAATCGGCCTTCTATATGATCAAGCAATCCACCTTTTGGGAATATACCCAAGATACTCAAATCATTCCACACAAGGAATTCCTGCTCCCACATATTTATTGCAGCACTGTTCACAATAGCAAAAACATGGAACCAAAAGAGACTGGATAAAAAACTGGTTAAGTTGGCTGGACGCAGTGGCTCAAACCTGTAATCCCAGCACTTTGGGAGGCCGAGGTGAGAGGATTGCCTGAATCCAGGGGTTCAAGACCAGCCTGGGCAACTTGTTGAAACCTCGTCTCTACAAAAAAAAAAAAAAAGTTAGCCAGGCGTGGTGGTGCATGCCTGTAGTTCCAGCTACTTGGAAGACTGAGGCGGAAGGATCACCTGATCACAGCAGGTCGAGGCTGCAGTGGCTGTGCGCATGCCATTGCCCTCCAGCCTGGGCGACAGAGTGAGACTCCAACTCAAAAAAAAAAAAATGTGGTCCATATACACGATAGAATATTATGCAACTATAAAGGACAAAATTATGAACTTCACGGCAACTCGGATGGATTTAGAGTCTAAATACTGAGTAATCTATCACAGAGACATAGAAATGAGTACCACATGTTCTCACTCATAACCAGACCCTGAACAATTACCATAATACTACAAGAAAGGGATTGGCAGTAGTGGGAAACTGCGGGGGGCACAGGGGTACGCTTCATCAATAAGGGTACCTGATCTCCAACCAGGAAAAGTGGGGACCAAAATGAGACCCAAACTCTACCTGTACAATGACCATTTGTATACCTAACCCTGAATTGTATCCCACATCTTTAAAATAAAAATAAAGAAAATGAAAGGACAATCCCAAAGTGAAAGTAATTACAAATCATAGATCTGATAAGGAACCTGTAAACATCTTACAACTCAATAACAAAAAGATAGCCCAATGAAAAAGTGGGCAAAGGACTGAAACACATTTCTCTGAAGAAAATATGCAATTGACCATCAAGCACTTGAAAAGATGCTCACTGTCATTAGTCATTAGGGAAATGCAGACTAAAAGCATAATAAGATATACTTTATACTTAGCAGGATGGCTATAATCAATAAAATGGAAAATGACAAGTGTTGGTGAGGAAGTAGAGAAATTAGAGCCCTCATATGAGGGAGGGCTCCCAAAAAACTAACATTTATTTATTTATTAAAAAATTGTGTATTTATTCTTACGTGTTTAAACTTTAGTCACCTTCAAAGTACTCTACGTTTGATGCAATACATCTATAGAGATGCTTTTTTCACTGCCCAAAAAGTTTTTGAACTAGTCAATTCTGATGCTTTTTAGTGCTTCTGCCATTTTTTGTTAGACCTCTTCCACATTGGCAGAAAGTTTCCCTTTGAGGACTTTTTTCGTTGGTGCAAGATGGGGTGAATAGGGAGGTTGGGGCATGGGGATCATGCTGCCTTTGATCAAAAATTGCTGAGCACTCAGCATGGTGTGGACAGGTTGTTCATGTAAGTCACCTATCGTGAAATGGGCAAACACCTTGAAATTCACTGAAGCTAAGCACAGCCTCTCACAACAAGGCTAGCTGGTACACTGATGCCTGTGGATTCCTAGAACAATTGCCTAGTGGAGTACTCCAAGGGGCTTGCCCTCCAAAAGATAATTCTCATTTTTGGATTCCCCCCTCATACATTGGTGTAGGAATGTAAAATGGTACAGTCACTTTGAAAACAGTTTGGCAGTTCCTTAAAATGTTAAACATGGAATACCATTTAATAGAAATTCCGTTTCTTTATATATGCTCAAGTGACATGAAAACATATTCATGTAAAAAATGTATAGATGAGTGTTCATAGCAGCATTATTCATAATAGTCAGAAAGTGGACAGCCGGGCTTGGTGGCTCAGCCTGTAATCCCAGCACTTTGGGAGGCTAAGGCGAGTGGATTGCCTGAGCCCGCGGGTTCGAGACCAGCCTGGGCAACTTGACGAGACCTCATCTCTACAATAAATCAAAAAATAGCCAGGTGTGGTAGCACGCGTCTGTAGTTCCAGATACTTGAAAGGCTAAGGCAGAAGGATTGCTGGAGCCCAGCAGGTCAACGCTGGGGTGGCCATGAGTATGCTACTGCACTCCAGCCTGGGCGACAGAGTGAGACTCCAACTCAAAAAAAAAAAAAAAGTGGAAGCAACCCAAATGTATATGAACTGGTAAGTGGATAAATAAAGTATGGTATATTCATATAGTAAAATATTATTTGACAATAAAAAAGAATGAAGTATTGATACATTCTCCAACATGGATGATCTTGAAAATAGTATGCTAAGTGAAAGAAGCTAGTCACAAAAGATCACATATTATTCCATTTATAGGAAATGCTTATAATACTCAAATCCATAGAGACTGAAAGTAGCTTAGTGGTTGCATAGGACTGGAAGATTTGGGAATAATGAGTACAGAGTTTCTTTTTGGGATGATGAAAAATTTCTAAAATTGATTATAGTTATGTTGGCACAATTCTGTGAATATACCAAAAACCGTGGGATCGTGTACTCTAAATATGTGAGTTGCATATTATATGAATTATATCTCAGTGAAGTTGTTTTTAAAAATGCCAGTAGATGATCAAAGAAAATGGACAAGGCTAATCACAGAAGAAGAAATACAAATGGCCAATAAGCATATTGCTTATTCATCATTACTAATAATTATGAGAACTATAAATTAAACCCTTCATTAAATTATTGAGAGATTGAGAACACCACCAAAGAAAAAAAAGAAGAAGAAGAAAGAAAGGAATCTGTTAACAATCTTGTCTTTAAGAGTTAGGATGTTGGGTGTGGTGGCTCACACTTGTAATCCCAGCATTTGAGAGGCCAAAGCAAGGAGGATCATTTGAGGCAAGGAGTTTGAGACCAGCCTGGGCAACATAGTGAGACCCTATCTCTACAAAAAAATATAAAAACTAGCTGGGTGTGGTGGTACATCCTTTAGTACTAGCTATTTGGGGGAGGCTAAGGTAGGAGGATCACTTAAGCCCAGGAGCTTGAGGTTAGCGAGCTGTGATCGTGCCATTGCACTCCAGTGTCGGCAACAGAGGGAGACTATTTAAATAAATAAATAAATAAAAAGGAAGACTTAGGAATCTTTATGTTTCTGATTAAATAAAATTAGTCATGGTTAAGTGTCTTATAGAAATATTGTCCCTTCTGCTAAGAATATAGCCCTAGAATTAGAATTATTCAACCTCTAGAAATTAATCAATCCAATTCCCTTGTTAACCCAAAAAAGAGTAAGGGATTTGCTCAGATTACAAGTTAATTAGTATCACAGGAAGGTCTATACTCAAAGTTTCCTGGCTGTCTGCTAGTGCCTTGCATTTCTACTAAATTGGGCACAGTTATCAAAAGCTCAGACTTCCAAGTGTCAGAACTGTGGGGGAAAGAATTGGGAAGCCTAGGAACCTACCCTTTTTAAGAGGACCAAACTAAGATTGCTTGGGTGTTCATTTGACTTCTGATTGTTTAATATTCCACATTAGCTAGTCTTTTGTTTAAGTTGTACTGACTCTTAGTTTCTTATTTTTAGATGCTTTCTTGTTCAAATTTCCCATATAGTATGTAAATTGGGTCTGTCCTCCACAATGCATTAGAATATCCTGTCATTGATCAAACAAACCTCCTGTCCTGTTCTTACCAATTTTCTGTATCACATTCTTTCTGAGTACCATACTTATTAGATAGTCAACCTAGACCTGTTTCAAAATCTCATATAGTGAAGAACGGTTGACTTTTTATGTGTTTTCTCCATAGAGTAACATTTGTTTACTCCCTCAGTTTGTTTGTATATGCAGTGTACCATAGTAACATCATACTTCTTACCTGTGACCTGCTGAAATTTATATCTTTGTATATCCATCTTTCTCACTAGACTGAGCTCTCATGGCTAGATAGCTATATTTTGCTTATCCTTATGTGTCTTAGGCTTATTTGATACTCATTTATTTGTTAGATAAATAAATACTTGAAGTATTCAACTTTTTGTGTTGCCTGGTTAACATTTTACCTTTTTTTCTTTCAGAATTTGGAGCTGTCTGCCTAATATTTTCTGCAACACTAGTTTACTTCCCACCCCGGCCCCCCCTCCCCCCCAGCGTTGCTGCAGCTAGCCAGCGACTGAGTTATCGGCGGAGCTTTTGTAGATTATTAAGGTAAATATACTTATAGTCATTGAATGGTTTTGACTAACTTTTAAGAGAATTTCACATTTTAAAAATATAATTTAAAATAGTAATTTTTCAGCAACTTACTAATAAGGTTGTAAATAAATGATAAAATACTGATTAAATATTTTAAATTTCTTATCAGAAATCTATCTTGAAAAATCACCAAAACCAAAAACCTCTATAATTTTTGCCTGATCACTTTTACTATTATTTACTTAATATTTTAAATCAATTATTTTTCTCAATTAATTTTCTTTCATAAAGAAGCTCATATCACACAATAATGTCTGTGAAATCATGGGTTTTATGTATTTATTATGTTTTTCCTAGTATGCAAAATTTGTGTTATGTATTTGTTAAGGCATATTAATATTAAAAGGTACTAGTCAGTACAAAGTGGACAAAATAAATAATATCATTCATATATCATCTAAAATCATCTCACTTACCACAAGTGAGATCATACTTTGAGAAACGTATTATATTATTTTACTTTGTTAGTATTACTTAAATGTAGTTAGATTAAATTCTAACCTTAAAGACTCAAATGCCCAGTACATTAGTGATATATAAAACATCACTGTTGATTATGGACTTAACTTTTGAATTTTTTCCTCAGTTAGTTGTGATGAGTTTTCACTGATTCATCAGCAACTCTCTCTAGTTGTTTCTGTCTTTTCTTGTGTTTTTCTCCCACCAGATGGTGGTAAGTTCCTTGTAGTCAGGAACTATGTCTTTGTATCCTCCACAGTAATGCCATGCAAGCCACATCTGTAATCTTAAGTTTTCTAGTAACCTCATTTTATTTTATTTATTTATTTATTTATTTATTTATTTTTGAGTTGGAGTCTCACTCTGTCACTCAGACTGGAGTGCAGTACCGGCCACTGCAGCTTCGACCTGCTGGGCTCCAGTGATCTTTCCGCCTCAGCCTTCCAAGTAGCTGGAACTACAGGTGCACGCTACCATGCCCAGCTAATTTTTGATTTATTGTAGAGATGAGGTCTCGTCAAGTTGCCCAGGCGGGTCTCAAACCCGCGGGCTCAGGCAATCCACTCACCTC